TTTTTTTTTGGGGGGGGGGGGAGCAGGAGAAGAGAGCGGAAAGATTCACCACATGAGGTTCAGTCTTGACTTGCGACGGAACTGCTTCTTTGTCATGCACCACGGACCAGGAAAGGTACTTAGCTGCACATAATCCACAGATAAGAGACCCAACCATGTGAGATTTCAAGCCATTCACTCACTAAAACGTGCAGCATTTACTCCTCTCCAACAATACACAAGCATGTATATAGGTCGGTAACGAGTGAGAGGTGGTTTTCGGACCAAGGGTTTGTACTCAAGAACTAATACGCCTTTTTCTTGGAAACATTCAATTAACATAGCAGAGTTTGTGACAAGTGGACAATGGAATTAGAGAGACACAGGAATATGGACTTACATTACTGATAAGCTTTGCCCCATGCCATGCTGTGTCTACACCATAAGGAGGAGGAATTACTCTGACCCCATTGACGGTGGATGTAGGGAGGAGGCCATGCAGTTCTTTGTGTAGCCTTTCTGGATGCAGCACAAGAGAACACAATACCATAAGCACATCATTCATGCATATCTTCGAGGGAGATTTTTTCAAATACATTCCAAAATTTATTTCGCAAGAAATCTGGATTACTTGCGGAAGCAAAACAGCAAAAGATATTTTTTGGCACTCAAAATCTTTGAACAAAGAGTAAAGAGATGACTGTACCAGCAATTCCTGGCAAACATGCACTTCCCCCAGCCAATACAACAGTCTTGAACCAGCTATCATCCCCCGTAAGTTCAGCCGCTTCACAGTGGTCCATGCAGAGTGCAACAGCCTGATGCAAACCCATTGCACGCCTGTTTTGGGAATCGTAGGTAAAAGACTAATCAGAAGACTATTTATCATGGTCAAAAAAGTTGACCCAAGTCTGGAGTTTTGGCAGTCTTTCAAGAGGAAAGGAAGCCAGTGCTAGAGATGCTTTAGTTCAGATTGGTGGAAGGTAGAAAACTTAATAGCATTTCAATGCGAAATAACGGAAATATAGCATGTTTGTGCACTATCCTTTCTGGTCAAATGATTGTGTTTTTAGTTTCCGACTCCTCAGGACTAATATAGGAGGAATCTAAACAGTATACTTGTCCTCAAGGCAACAAATAAGAGCAGCCTTACATTCCAGCAAGACGAGGTTGGAACAATATTTCTCCTGTTTGAAAACGCTCTTTCGATAAAGTAAACCATCCTTCACCAGCAACTTCCATTGAAGCTTGTGTGTCTCTCGAAAGTTCAGCTTTATAATCAGCAGCCACATAGCATATGTTCTACATTCCCACAAACCGTAAAAGCAACACAGAGATTAATTATATTCAAAGAACTACAACCGGTAACTTCCAATTGTGTTTTATGACCTCCTGCTAACACATAAGCACCTCTTCAATTCCCAGGAAAAGAAGGCTAGAAGGCTTCTACCTCTTTTAATGTACGAACGGTGTAAAGCGATTGAAAAGGAATGTTGTTCTCTTGCATCTTCTCCTTGAGAAAGCTAGTGAGTTTCAATGCTCCAAACCCAATGACTTCTATGCCTACCTGACGCATCACCTTACCATGCAAAACTGTAAAACCCCCAGTCAAAGTTAAAAATGCAGAAAAGATCAGTCAGAGGGAGACACAAGGAGCTCCAAAACAACAGATTTCTTCACATAAATCATCTTTGTCACAAAACAACCTCAGTTCAGATTAAGATAACACACGTGAGATAATGGCGATAAAACAACCTCTTCACAACATATGGAGCACAAGGAGTTAAAACACAGAATAAAAAGCTCACTTGGAAGAATTGTTGTGACGTGAAAACCAATATTAACAACAATCCCAGATGTCCGTCTTGCAGAATAGAGAGCCAAAATAGCCTGAATATTATAGGACAGGTCATTCGTCGATAAATGCAAGGCATGTAAATATTCATGGACAATGAATTCATTAGTTAAGCTATACTCTCCTTTTTTTTTCGAGCACTGTTACACTTCTCTAGTAAAAGGTGACAAGATGTATCCAATTCAAAATATATCAAGTTAGAACCCATCCATTCCTTTGGGTTTCGGCTTTTAAAGCATAAAAAATATTGCTTCATTTGATTGTGACTTGTACCAAATTGATCCTGCTGAAGAACTTGAGAAGGGAATTCCTTAAAAGTCATCGTGTTGGCTTTCACAGCCTCTTCTGTAGAGATATACCCGATATATACTATTCGGACAAATACCTCTGGAAAGGACATAAGAAGTGAAACAAAGACTTGCCTGGTTAACAGCACAAACAGCAGGAACATTCATATCAAACAAGACTGAAAGTATAGCCGATTTAAGCTGCCGCCTCGATGCCTTGGCTGATTCAGTATCTGAAAACTCAAGAAGGAAGAAACCATAAAAACCGGGACCAGATTATGTGATCCTGAAGGTAAATGAGTTCATCTGTATCTAACCATCAAAATGGCACACGGGGAAGGTCAGCACTACCGGCTGCATAGATGGTTTTACTTGCATCCTACAAAAGATGTTTGAGGTATTAGCTTAGTAACTCAAAAGCCGAATCCATATGTCAATAAGTGGAAAGACTCAAAGCTACAGCAGCTAGTGATGTACCAAATTTGCAGACACTGACACGAAATGATAACTCAAACCTGGTGAAAATGGTTGCAAAGAACTGTTGAAGTCTAGAGTATATTGGTGACTCAACGTTGCCAAACTCCTATCCACATAATTAGACAAGTTATCTTGTGTAGTGGTGTGAAAAGACAAGATCCCTGAATGGTGAACAAAATCAAATAACTTGATTATCTCATCAAACAAAACCCCACCAGAAATGTTGCTGAGCGTCCAGATGGACAAGCATACTTGCTCCAACCATACTTGCAATATCCAGAGCCACCTTTTATGACACAGCCACCAATGGCAAATACACAGATATAGATATAATGGTAAGTGCCAAGTATAATTAACGAGAAGGCTAAACAAACCATTACAACAACAAGGCAGTTGTCACAATTTCATTATGGAAGTCATAATTCATACCGTCGATTATAATGGAACCGGGAACTTGTGCCCTCTGGCCATAAATGCGCATGAATGACAACTCCCCTGTATGAGTAGAGTACATTCTGCAAAGCAAATATTTCTTCACAAAACCATATTTTTTCCAGAAATTAAAAGCTATAACTTCCCAAAAGTTACTTCATCACCATATCATCAAAATAACATCCAATTCGATGGCCTTGTTCCAGCATGCATACCAGTAGACAGTTTCTTATCACTAATAAACAGTTTCTCATCGATTGATTATGCCCATGAATCACGATGATGAAAAAAAAAGGAAAAAAGCGAATCCAGAAACCTGATCCGCATCCTTGAGACCTAATCTCGGCTACTTTTAGCTGAATTATATGCATTCTCTCGTGGGCAACTCAAATGATCCTTCTATGATCAATCAGAAACTACAGTGGAAAAAAGAAGAAGATCAATTTAGCACCAAAACCTAAATCTCTCCTCAGAATTGGAATATTCAGTACACCATCGTTCTTGCTCTATCTACGATAGCACCTTCAATGTCATCCCGCTTCTTTCCGGGAGTTTCCTCCGGCGATCAAGCAAAAAAATGGAACAGAAGAGAATTCATGACTCACCGAAGAGGAAATCCCAATCGCAAATTCATTTCCGCGAAGAAAATGGAGTCCCAGGGCTCCTGGGAACACTGGAGATAGAATATCCAGAGACGATTATCGCTAACCAAAGAATTCCAGGCCCTGCACGATAAGCTCAATTTCACCGCATCTCTCGGTCCGATCAATCTCAGAATCTGAATCAGTATATCCATCGGTAATTGATCAAACGCCCCCAGAGATGACGGCGCAGAGACCCGAACCGCACGCTGACCCGCCGAGTCATTGCCACTGCTCGAGCGATTCCACACCGATCCCCACACCTTCCTCAGTATCATGGCCTTCCTCCGGCTCCGGCTCTCCGTCTCGGCGCTTCGAGAAAATTCGAGAATTTTCCAGGGACAAGAGAGTCGTGTATAGGCATACAGTGTTTTGTGGAATGTGGAGGCGAAGCTCTGACGTAAGTGATAAACGTGGACTGTTTTGATAAAGACACGTGGCATCACCGCTTTGATTTATCTCACACACTCGCAAGATTAGATCGTGAGATCATTGCCACGTGTAATCTAAATCTCCGTCTACTCAAATGACCCACTTGTATGGCAACAATGTCACAACGGACCACTTGAAACTATTGAAGCTCCAAGTTTGTCGATTTTTTTTTTTTACAAAGTAGTGTATATTCCACATGATTATTTAATAATAACATCAATAGTGATACAAAATTTGAGAGAGAAAAAAGAATTACGTCAGATTGTTTTATATACCATTCACAAAAAAAAAAAGACAATTATTTTCACCGCCAAAAGCAATAGGATTTTATTTTATTAAATTTAATGAGAACAAAATAAATAAATGGCTGCGGGCAGAATATAAAACCCGTAAAAACTTCATTTGGGACAGCGATATATAATTTCGATTCTCAGATCCGCAGATTATCTAATTCGCGTCAAATCTCTACCGGCTTTCAAACTGGGTATCTCTGCATTTCTTAAAATTTTCGTCTCCATTCTGCCATGATTTTACCGATTCTAGGGTTTTCTGGGTTGATGAAGATCTCTAGCGTCTGTATCTATTGTTCCTGTTTCTAGGGTTTTGATAATTTGAATAAGCATCGAAGGAATTAACCTTTATTACGGTTCTTAGGGTTTTTAAGATTTGTCTTGTTTCATGGATTTCATTTTTGGGTTTTTTCCGCGTCATGTCTAAATTCGGCTGGAGAAATATGTTGATCTGTATCCTTGTTCCCGTAGTTGTGGTAAGCATAATGCAAAATTTGGAACCCTTTCTTATATTGGAGCCTTATTGTTGTTTCACAATGAGGAGAATCACCAATTTGTTATATGAAATGAGAACTGGGCAAGGAAAAATTCGAGCTTGATGCATCAGCTCAAGAAATTTTCCTGTTGCCAATCTTTAGTTTGTATATGTTATGATAATTCTTGGTTAGTAACAGGTAGATATTGTTGTTCTTCTCATTTCGACATCCGAAACATTCAGTGGTTGTGTTATTACACCATGTTGATGTTGTTTGTTTGGTGGTTGTGATCAAGGCCTTTCAGTTCTGTGCAGGTTGATCTCACCATGTCTGGCTACCATGGTGACGAGGCCGAAGCTGAATACATGGCTGATGAGTATGATATGGAAGATGTAGATGACATGGATGCAGAGTTTCATGGCAGGGATATCGAGGCATCTGACTCCGAAGTTGAAGAATATGACAACTTGGTCTCTGATTCTTTCTCGGGTTCTTTTCAGTTTTCATGGCTATGATCTGTTTTTTTTTTCTCATCTCCCGACACTTTTTATACGCAATGTATTAGAACAAGTCTGCCGATACAACTGCTGCTCAAGCCCGGAAAGGGAAGGACATTCAGGGAATTCCTTGGGATAGACTTAGTATCACCAGAGAAAAGTACAGGAAAACTAGGCTAGAACAATACAAAAACTATGAAAATATCCCTAATTCGGGCGAGGCATCTGGGAAGGTGAGTTGCCTTTTTCCCGTTTCTTCCTGCCAACGTTATTGCATAGACATTGTTCTGTTTGTGCTATGCTCACTCTGGCTTTATCCATTGGAACCAGGACTGCATAAATACCGAGAAAGGCAGCTCTTTCTACACGTTCAGGAGGAATTGTAGATCCGTGAGATCAACTATTCTTCATTTTCAGGTTTGTCAATCGTATTCTTGCAGTTAACCACATGTTTTTTAATGTTCTTCCACCCCCAAGATGAGTCATATACCGTTCTTTATCCGCATATTTTCGGTGGACGATTGTAAGCTGATTTCACGTTGGGTGTTCATTTCTTCTCGTGTTTTGCAGCTGAGGAATTTGGTATGGGCTACATCTAAGCACGATGTTTACCTGATGTCGCACTTTTCTATCGTCCACTGGTCAACTTTGACATCTGCCAAGAACGAAGTTCTTAATGTTTCAGGTCATGTGGCTCCGACTGAGGTGCTTTTCCTGGAAACCAAACCATATGCAAATTATGCAACCCGTTTTTAGTCATTTGTGTCGGCATTTCTATTCTTGTTTCTCGCGTTTCTCTTAGCTTATATCCGGGTTTTTTCAGAAACATCCCGGAAGTTTATTGGAAGGATTTACCCAGACACAGATTAGCACTATGGGAGTAAGAGATAGACTGCTAGTTGCTGGTGGATTTCAGGGAGAACTCATTTGCAAGGTCGGTTACAGTGGCCTTGAATTAATTTTTTCAAGAGCGTGATAAGGATATACCAATCATCAATCTTGGCTTCGATTTTGGCATGTAGAACCTGATTTGAGATTGCTGTAACTAATACAAAATGCAGAACAATCTGTTAATCCATGTCCCTGACTCGGTAAATTTGTCGTTTTTGTGATGTAAACAGCATCTTGATAGACCTGGTGTAAGCTTCTGCTCACGCACAACAAATGATGAAAATGCGATCACGAATGCAGTAGATATATATAGGACCTCGAGGTATGTATTGTACTCTTGTCTTGATTTTGTGTAAGCCATACGATGGTGAAGATCTAAATAGAAAAAAATCTGTATGATGCGTAGTGGTGCACTGCATTTCATGGCCTCGAACAATGATTGCGGAGTCAGAGATTTCGATATGGAGAGATATCAACTTGTCCAGCACTTCCGTTATCCATGGCCAGTTAACGTGAGTGGATATGCTTTTTTTATTACCCTCTGCTTGTTCTTGCCAGAAAATTTGGCATTTCAATTGGGTTAAGGCGATCTGAAATTCTTGTTCCCGATTTCGAAACTATGCAGCATACATCTCTCAGTCCCGACGGTAAACTAATCGCGGTCGTCGGAGATGACCCGGATTGCCTGTTGGTCGATTCCAGCAACGGAGAGGTACTGTAAAACACAAGCTGTTCTTCCTGTTTTGTCTTGCGGGCTTATAAAGTTTCCGACTTTGACACTGAATAATGGGTTTGAACTTGAACTTAACGATCTTTTTTTCAGACGGTCGCGACGCTGAAAGGGCATTTAGACTACTCGTTTGCGTCAGCTTGGCGTCCCGATGGCGTCACTTTCGCCACGGGAAATCAAGACAAGACCTGTCGGATCTGGGACATTAGAAACCTGTCGGGATCAGTGGCTGTCCTAAAGGGCAATCTGGGGGCCATCAGGTCCATACGGTACACATCGGACGGACGGTACATGGCAATGGCCGAGCCAGCAGACTTCGTCCATATCTACGACACGAAAACTGGGTACGCGAAAGAACAAGAGATCGATTTCTTCGGCGAAGTCTCCGGCCTATCCTTCAGCCCCGACTCCGAGTCTCTGTTCGTCGGTGTCTGGGACCGGACGTACGGCAGTCTCCTCGAGTACGGACGAGCCAGGGACTACTCCTATCTCGATTCATTCCTCTGAATTCTCTCCACACACACACCACACACACACACACATATATATATATATATATCACCAAAAAAAAAAAAGAGGAACTCAAGATTTGATTCGGAGGTTGTCTGAGCAAGTGTTTTGTGTTGTGGGGGAAAATGTACATTATCCTGAGGTTGGAGATTGTCTGCTGTGTGTTTCGGTTGTAATCTTTGTTCTGATATCCAAAATCACCAAAAATACTATATGTTAATAGCATCTAAATGAATATTACTAGTTTGAATACGTCTTTGCATTGTTGGACCGACTGTATATAACATAATGTATTTGTTTCATGTACAATTGGTTCCACTGAATAAAATTATGAATTGTGAAGAAGTATTATTACCTTATATTATAATGAAATGTGCTGCTCTTTATTCTCATGAACAAAAATGCATGTCTTGTGGGAGTGGCCCTCCACTCCAACTATATAGCTCGCGCCCAAGATCGATTTTTTATGGAAATTTATTTTGACAGTCCTTTATTCGTTTATTTTGATTATCTTTAGTATATATATATATATATATATCTATAGATGCAGATTTGTGGTACGTATAATGTTTTAGAAAATTTAAGCGATATTGTTAGATAGATGGCGAAATCTTTAATTCGTCATTAAATTGAATTAATGACGGATTAGAAAACAAATAACCAACGGAAGTCTACATTAATATTATTATTACTAGAAAGTATTACAATTTGTATATATACGTGTACACATACGTATTAAATACAGATCGGGAAAACTCTGACTGAACCAAAGGGTTTGGATTTTTGGAAAACCGCGTGGACCGAAGTATAATGGAGCCCTAGTTTTGGAGAGATTCCTCGACTTAAAGAGATAAACACTCGCGTAGGAAGAAACCCAAATTATTTGTTATTTTTCCATTAATGATAACTCCTTTCGGGAATCTCAATCAAATATTTTCTTTAGTTATATCACAGATTTTACGAATATATAAATCGTGATTTTCTTGCCTAAACCCACGAATATTAATAATTGTAATCAATCACGGATGTGCATTTATCATTAATTAACCACGCACGCACGACTCCTAAGGGCGTGTTTGCCCCTACGACAATAAAAAAAGGCTTCATCTTTCTCCAAACGCGGGTTTTCCGAGAAATCGCGTTTCGCGTTTCCTAAACCGGTGCCGAAATTTGGAAACTTGATTGCTTTTTTGGCATCCAGTTGTAGGAATTGGAAAGGTATTTACAGAAAAGAATGTGCAAAGTACCAAAAATAAATAAATAAAAAGTTTCAGGCTTTCAGATTAAAATCTTCCGTTACTAATGACGAAGCTGTTATCTAAGCATCCAAACAGGGGCCTTAGTAGGTTAATAGTATTAGAGTGGGTAACATATCTCGAATGGTTTGGTAAGTGGCTAAGTGCTAAGATACAACACAATATATACACCTATATATATATATATCTCTTTTTAATCACGAAAATAATTTTCTTTTTTAAAAAGGGTTTTGTTATTTTTTGCCTTGTAAATAACACAATTAATTAATTAAATAAATAAAAGATGTGATTTTGCCTAAACGTGAGACACAATCTGTAGAAGTCAGACTCTTCAACGCCTTCTTCTTCTTCTTCTTCTTCTTCTTCTTCTTCTTCAGTAATAGTTGCAGCCTCCTCTTGTTGCTCTGCTTCTCTCTTCTCATGTTCTGCAAATTCGATTCCAATCGAAGTCTGTAAATAGGTTAGTTCTGTCTGAGAACAGAGAGCTTCTTCAAGAGAATACAACAGTGTGGTGAGGGTTTGGCTTCTCTACCAAGTTAGGGCAATTTCAGACAGAGATACTCTGTTTTCGAGCTTTTGTTCTGTCTGGGTTTTTCAGCTGCTGGAGCAATACGATGGATGAGGAGGAGGCACAGTACGAGGCTTGTGAATTCTCGGCGGTTTCCAGTGGAGAAGCAGAAGCAGAAGCGAGATCAGGCCCGATCAAGCTTCGGATTCCGAATTTCAAATCCTTCGTGGAGGAAGATTACGACGATCGAGGAGCTAAAGACGTCGAAGACGAATCGGAAGAAGATCGAGATGGCGATCATGGAGCTGGAAACAAGGTCGAAGATGGAGGAGGAGAAGGTCAGACGCATATATGCTCTGAATGTGGCAAAGGGTTCAAGTCGGGAAAAGCTTTGGGAGGTCACAAGCGGATCCATGGCAATGAAACGAGCAGATCCAGGGAGAAACCCAGGATGATTATACCTCACAGTGCGAATCTAGAGCTCGTCCATGGATTCGTAGAGTTCGCTTGCTGCGTTTGTCGGAGGAAATTCACTTCCATGAAGGCATTGTACGGACACATGAGGTTTCATCCGGACAGGGGATGGAGAGGAGTTCAGCCTCCTCAAACCAGACCCGGTTCCTCCTCTTCCACACTCTCTCTTGACCATGATCACTTCAATTCTGATTATGATGGTGATGGTGATGGTGATGATGATGATGATGATGGTGGTGAGAACTCGGGATTCTCGGATTGTAACTTGGAATCCATTGTTCCTGATATGGTTGTCGACCTCAAGGAATCGACAAAGGGTTGGTCTATAACCGGGAAGAGAGGCAGGAGAAGCTCTTCGAAGGTTGAAACGAACCCGGAAGACGATATGCAAGAAGCTGTCAATGATCTGTTGATGCTAGCTAACGCAGAAACCGGTCCCGAAAAGCCTCGGAATCCCGACATTCTCGAGAGCTCTGAAAAGGCCGAAGAGAATGTTCTCGAGCAGAAGAAGATCAGAAGGAAGAAGAGGAGATTGTCAGATATGGAGAAAACGTCCAATCGAGACGAGCTTGATCATCATATTGACGGTACCAATCCGCCGAAACACGTGTGTGTGACCTGCAACAAGTCATTCCCTTCATACCAAGCTCTTGGAGGTCACAGGGCAAGCCACAACAAGGCCAAGAACGAGAGCTCCGGGGTCGGAGCCTACACGTTACTTGCGTCAGAAGCAACCGGCTTAGTCAGCGGTCAGGGATCAAACACGTCGGTCTCTAGCAACGGAGATCACCAATGCAACATCTGTCAGAAGAGATTTCCGACAGGGCAAGCTCTGGGAGGGCATAAAAGATGCCACTGGGTTGGACCAGCGGCTGAGGCTGCAGGGTCATCTACGAGCCAAGCTACCGATCAGACACAGGAAGCTAAAGTGCAGAGACCGGTCTTGAGCATTGACTTGAACGAGCCGCCGCCGAAAGAGGAGGGAAGCGGTGGAGAAACAACAGTCAGGTGAAGTTAAAAAAAAGGATTAGTCTAATCAAAGAGATTTTGGTTTTAGAGTCACAACATGTTGGATTAAGGTTAAATACAACACAGAGAAAGAGAGAGAGAGAGAGATTGGGTTTTGGAGTTTGGAGTTTGGAGAGAAACCCAGTTTGGTTCTTGTTTCTGTTTTGGTGGGGTCTTTGTAGCTTTTTATTTTCCCTTGATTTCCTTTGCTTCTCTGATGAGTTCACTATAAAGCATGATGGTTTTCAGTTGCAGAAAAATCCAAAAAGGACTGTCTCTGTCTTCTCTTTCTTCCCCTTTTAAACCAAGATTTTTGGGTAAAGCCAATGTTTCATTAGTGACATTTAGCCTTAAGACAGTCTCTCTTCATTGTTTTTCATCCAACCATGTCATCAAAGATTGAAACTTTCACCAGTTCCATAGATCCAGTTATCCTTTTTTGTTATGGTTTTACTTGGAGAAGTGACTTTTCATGTTCCAGATTATGTGTTTCTTGTACACCGCACACCCAGGAAACAGCATCCACAAGTTCTCTGGTAATATATTCAAATGGGAATATGCAGACTTTGGTTGGTGGGGTCCAGAGTTGATAGGGTCCTCAATCTTTGTCTGTTTCCAACACAAAACTCCCCAAGCTCACCACTTTAAATCACCTAAGACAACAAGATATATCATGTATATATATAATATATTATTTTGGTCTAAAATCCAATACGTGGGCATTGTTCTTTTTCCTCTGTTTGAGCATTCAGACGCTGTCACATTTAGGGGAAAAGAAATAAACTAAGTGTTAAAGAAGTCTCTGTCAAAGTCTCAACTTGCTGCCGCTGTGTGGCATTGGACCGGTTCTTGGTAGGTACCACCAGAAATCATAACACACACACACACACACAAAAAAAAAAGAACTTGTCTTGCAACTGACAAAAAAATTGACAAAAGCAGCAATATTTTGAAGCATACATGTGATGTCATGCCATTGCAACACCAAAAAGCTTGAAACTGTTTCCTGATTTTATTACAAGTGTTGAAAATTTTGGAGCCAATATGTTACAGAAAAACCAAGATTGCATAAAACAAAAAGAAACCCCATCTCATGTGGGTACAACAATCTCTGACTCTGGCAACATTTGAGAGATGAACAGATAAACTACTACAAGCAGTAAAACTAACTGTAAAAGCAGGCACGAACTAGTTCTGCGTGCTCTCTTCTTGATCTTGTGCATTTCTCGAGTTTCTACTATGTCTCCACAATGCTTTTCCAGATCTCGTGCCCGGTTTCTCAAGATCTCAGCTTTCGTTTCTGCTTTCCCGAGCTTGCTCATCACCTCGTGAGCTTCTTCCTCTACCAGTCCCTTTTGCTCTTCAAACAGCTTCATCTGTTTGTCTGATACCGTCTTTAAGTTTTCTATGGATCTTGACAGTATCATATATTCGATCTCGGCCTCAATCTTTTGCTGGAATGCGTCTTCGACCCCTATTTCCGTTCCTCTGAAACCTTCCTGCTGTGATGCTGAAGTGCTTTCAACTTCTTCCCCGGAAAATTTGTTAAGATTCACCATGGACTCCAGTTCACGAATCCGTGACTCTTTCATCTCAAGCATAGACCTTGTTTCCTCCAGTTTGACCTCTAAGTATTCTATGTTTTTCACGAAGGCTGATATTTGAGAATCTGAGGAAGTTGAATCCCTTTGTATTACCTTTCCACTCACTAACTGGTGAGATGAACTTGCTTCACTTGTCCGTTCTCCCGTTGCATGTATAGAACCGCTGTTATCAGCATGATGATGTAGCGTCATAGGCTCCTTCCCAATCTCCCGGAATTTCTGAATCTCTGTAACGGAAAACTCGACAAGTGATCATGGCAATGGATGATTCCACCAACAGCATAAAGTATATAACTATCATGAAACAGAGTTAGCTGGTGCAGACCCATCTATAACATGTGGAGGTAATAACAAAATGTGACACCATAGAATCAAATGAATGCCAAAAGGGTGAAATGTTTACCTTGCTCAAGAGCTTCTTGCAAGGTCAGGAAACTGTTGATGGACTCTGTTAATGGGTCCAAATCTCCCGAGAAGTAACTGTTCTTGGCAATAGACTCTGCTGACGAGTCTTCTTGTGAAAGTTCTTCAGCTTCTTCTCCAGCATTATCTTTCCTGCACGAGGTTTCTCCGTTGCTATGGGCTTCGCCACTATTTTCACCGTTGTAGTCCATCGCTCTCCAGCTCTGCTTTCTGCTACTCGAACTGCAGAAATCACCCTGCATAAAGACAAAGTTGGAGCCTCTCGAGTCAGATTCCACGCCGGAATGAGATTTCTCCTTCTTGATTTTGACCCCTTCTCCTCTAGACTTCTTACTGTTCTCAACCTGACTTTTTCCTCGTTGAGCTCTTTGATCTCCCAAATCAATCATAGCCTTTCCACCCAAATACTTTGCCCATTTTTTATCCCATGAATGACCCGTTGGCAAGTCAGACTCATACCTAGCCTTGGGAGCACTGGCTGCAGTCGAGGACTTGCTACTCCGATCCTCACTGATTTCCGAGTCCACACCAGCCGAAAAAGTAAGCCCAGCTGGCAATCTAGAATCAAGACTAGACCCAACAGAAGCCTGACTGTTTTCTTCGAGTTCTGGTGACCGGAAATGCATCTGTTTCGAGTGCGAATGGCCCGAACCAGACAACCCCCTCTTCAGAATTTTATTACTCTCCCAATTCGCAGACGAATCCTTTACAACATCTCTCCTTATCCGCCGCCATTTCCTCAAACCATAACCCTTTTTCATCGAAGGGGATGCTCCACCCGGTGATTTCGCCCCAGAAGAATCAAAGTTCACAGTTTTACCAAGCGAGTTATCATCCTTATCAGCTTCTGCTGAATGAACAGAGACCGGTTTCCCCCTCTCATCCAAGCATGGACCAGTACTCAGAATCTTTCCTTCATCAGCAGCATTTTCACATTGTTGGGTTACACTATTATCATCAACAGACTCAAGAACAGAGCCTTCACTCTTCAAATCCATTACTAGACAAAATTCCTACCCTTCTCCACTAATTTTCTCCCTCCAAAGTCGAGAGTGGATCAATATCAAGAACAGCAACCATCATTCCAGCAGTAACCGAAGCTCAAATCAATAAACGGGAAAAAAAGGAAATCCGGAAAAACCAAAGAAGCTATCAGAGCTCCCAAATTCAATCATAAGCATCAATATTCGACACTGATTCTCAATTCAGGGCAGAGAAATTTCATTTCCTTCCCGTTCTAAAATTACAAAACAAAAAACGAAAAAAAAGTCGCGAACTTTCGATAAGGGTCTTTTTACATTTTACAGAATACTTAGAGAAACGATTGATTGAAAAATCGAATCGAGCGTATAAATCAATCCAGCTGAATCAAACAAAGCACACGGTAATTGAGTCGAAATTGAACCAACGTACCTAAACCGAATCGTCAGAACGGAAACCACAGTGATTCCGTACACACAGATTGAAAATAAATAGAAGACGGTAGGAACCCTAATCCGATGAAAGATTTGCAGATTTATACCCGGGGAAAATTTCGCAGCATGAAGATACTTTTTTTTCCCCACGATCAATTGCTCTCAGCAATTTCCTTTTTTTTCATTTTCAACATACGACACGTGGCAAACCATGGGGCCCGCAGGACCGATGAGGATGTGATCTTATCTGGTTGGATCTAGAACTCCATTTGATGCACCGTTTAAAATTTGCACGTCACTGGATATTCGTTCGATGATGGATTCCAGTCGGCCAACCTCGCCGGAAGCGGCGGATTCCGACCAGGGGAAAGCTTGTCGGGAAAATAGACGGGGAAAAAGGCAGAAACTTTTTGGGTCAACCAAAGAAACGTTGGCGACTCAACATCATCATCAATACCTATAAACCCTCAGAATATATAACTCAAGATGATGTAGTTTAGAGACTTGACATGAAGAGGATAAACTTTAACACAACCTTTGGTGGGTTTCTTCTGCAAAGTGTTAGTTATCTCAAGATTTCTGCCTCTGTAAAACCTTACATATACAGCAAGTCTCGGAAGAGCTCTGAAGATACAGAGGCACAAGTCTCAAACAACTTAAAACATAGGATACTCGGTGGACATTTTAATCCAATACACGTTTTGTTCACAAAGCTCTCTCTATCTCTCTCTGTAGGATTCTCCCCTTCTCGTTGAACTGCAAAAAGTGGAAACTTGCAGAGACTAGCTTGGAGAAAAGTACCGTACAAGACCAAAACTGTAAGCTTCTGCAGTTGTTGTCTGTGGAGTTGCTGCTGAACTGGCATTGTTTCCAAAGTAGAGGCTGGAGTTGTAATGATGAGGTGTTTCATGGTGGAATGTCTGTAAACTACTCTCATAGGTTCCAGAAGGATCTAGAAACTGAGGGGTTGGTTTTGATGATGGGGTTGGAGCCTCTTCTCCTTGGTTAACCACCATTAAGTCTTTTCCCATCAGCCGCAACACCGGGTTGGGAGGACTTGTTGTTGTTGTTGTTGTTGTTGTTGCTGTTGCCGCTCTGTTCATGAACTTGCTCTGAAGATCCGAATCTTGGAAGATGTATGGCTCAAATGTATCAAGGAAAGTGTCAGATTTGCTCAGCGTTATGTTTGGATCAAGACATGATCTGGTTCTGGTTTCGGGAATGGTAATGGGAGAGGCTGCTGCCCTTTGCTTCAGTGGCTGAGACTCCTCCTGATGGTTTACAGTAAAACCCTCGGGAAATCTCTCCTTTCCTTGGCAACAACATGGCTGATCATTGCTTCTAAACAGGAAAGATCTCTTTTTGTAGGATGAAGGGTAGTCAGATGAGATCATTTCTTGGGAGGTTGAGAATTCCGGTGGAAGATTCGGGTGACTGGATCTAACCACAGCGGAATCTGAATGAGTAGAAACTGCCGAAAGAGGTGATTCAGATGAAATTCTGTCAGTGAGATCAAGCTGATCCAGGGAAGATTGAACCTGGCTCGTTATGACTGACGAGTTTCCAGGGTAATCATCTGAACCCATATCCCGAGGGCTAGGCAAAAACGATCCCGGAGGTCCAGGGATAGGAATGGGATCAACCTCCATGAATGAGCTTCCTTGTCCAACTCTAGAATCAGGTTCTGAACCCATATCCCGAGCAGTTTGGCCATAAACCATGTCTCCAACCTCCTCAGAGCAATACAGTTGTCCTTCATCCCCTTGAGAAATACCGCCATTACAGATCTCGATAGATGGTGGAGTATCAGACTGATAAAACTCAGTATCTGCACCATCGGTTTTGTCCAATGCATCATCTTCTTCACTGTTAGCTGCATCCTCTTCACTGCTTTCGTCGTCATCATCATAATTATCGTCACTACTGACTGTAGCGTTAAGGCTCATTAGGACATCATCTGTTTTACCACTGTCAGAATCATCATCCATTAATGCACGGTCTTGAGCCGCCTCAAACTCCCATTTCTCAAGTTCATCATCTTCTTTCTCTAAGAGATGAAACCGAGCTTTCTTCAGCTTCCTAAAAGGCTTAGCCTCGGATACAGACACCTTATCCACGGAGGCTGAGGAATTTTTGCGCGCACGACTTGCATGAGGAGATTCTTCCAAATACCTTGCTCCATCTGTGGAAACGACCTTCTCAGCAAGTGACCACTCCTTATTTTCAGTGATCCGGACTCTAGATGAAGGGCTTTGAGCGCTTTTACGTCTAAATGAAGTTCCACTCTTTCTAATAACTGGGGTCTCCTCGTAAGTTCTCCATATTTTCTCCTTGTTTAGAGGAGAAGAAACTGAATCAGACACAGCAGTCAACTTATGGGTTGGACTTCTCGACAACATTGGATCTCCCGACCAATCTTCATTCTCAAACGGCTCATCCTGTGACGGATGAAACTTATGCCCTCTCATGTTCAGCTTCCTAGACATTCCAGTTCGTTTTGATAGCAACCGCTGATTTAAAATTCTTGACTTTGCCCTCTCCATGCCGCTTCCTTCTCCCGAATACCCTTCTTGATACTCCGGTATCTGTTGCACAAGAGATTCAACACATTAGTTGCTGCTATCTATGGTTTTAGCTACACAAATCTCAGAATAAAAGTGCTTTTCAGAAATAATAATCATTTGAAAGGATAGCAGGGAACCTTGAACACAGTTCAAACCACTATGCTAAATTACGAGCTGAAAGAGAGACATACCTTGGAAGCATTGGCTTTCTGGGAGATGAGTTTTCTGCTTCGAGGAATGAGCCTTAGATATTTGTGATGTTTCTTTCCCCGGCAAACTTTCTTTCTCGTTGAACACCATTTGCCTCCTTTGCCTTCTTTTAAAGATTTTTTCTTTAAAGAGACACCCTTGTGCTCTCTCAACATAGGACTATTCTCTCTGAACTCGGATAAAATCCGCAGCTTTTTGCCCTTTCCATCAACATAAACAGGACCTACACCAACAGCTTCTCCATCCAAAGGAGCTGGAAAAACCTTCCGCTTCTTGCCTTTCTTGGACACTTCAGGCTTATCAGCAACCCAGTTAGAATACCTTGAAATCATAGTCCACATGGTTCCATTTCTTTTATCAAGCTCTTCCAATGTGCATCCCTTTGCAGTAGCATAAATATCAGTCATCGTTCTAACTCTCCTCGGCTTGATTCTTTGCCTGCTTGGCTTAGCGGGTGGTAGTGCTGAATCAGCAGACAGACACTGATCAATGTGAGCATTCAAGGTGGTGTTAGAAGCAGAAGAGAAGGTTTTACAGATGGGGCAAGTCTTTGAAGCCATTGATTCAGGAGTTGCAAGGAAATTATCTTCTTTAGACCCTCGATTCAAGCAGGCTCCAGATTTCGGTAATAGCCCACACTTCTTAACTGGGTTCTTGTCAATGGGGACTTTTATTTCCGATTTCAAAAAACTTACGGTGGGCAGAAAATCATTCTCAACTCCTTTTCTAGTCTCTTTGAGCGTCTGATTTGATCCAATATTATCTAGCTTGCTCTTGTCAGATAAACATGAAGGAATTATCGGTTCACCACTGGGTATGATTTGCTTCTCCAATGAACAAGCCTCGGAAGCAAGAATGTTTCCAGGGTGGTTTCCTACAGCACCAGGAGGCTGAAACGGCGGCAGCGGATCATTTATGCCATGTCTCAAACAAAGTTGCAAACTTTTCGGGGCAAATGGCCAGTTTTTCTTGATGTCCTTGCTCCGGTAACTACATACGTAATCTCTGCAGCATCATAAAGCCATAACTATAACATCAGGAAAAGATGGAAATGATAATTTTGTACTCAGAAAGGGAACAACTTCAAGCCAAGAAATTCCAAGAAAATGAACCCAAAAGGGGAAAAAAACAATTCACAGCAACAATAGCTGGAACTGTAAGAGAACTTAAGAAAAAGATGAAAAATGAAAGCTATATGAGATCATAACCAAAATCGAATATAGATTGCTACAACTTTGAGACAAGGGGAAAAAATGTGTCCAATGATCTGGATTAGATATTCCCAGTGAATTAATTGAAGGATGCTGAGCTCGTCACGTTGTCTCGTTGAGTTGGTATCATACAGTATGAACCAACGGATCAGAGAAAAAGATTATATAATGAAAAAAGGACAAGGTGAAAGAGTCAAGACCTACGTTGATATTGATTGAGCTATATCATAAACATAGAACAGGAAAAGGTTGAAAATTTTGAATCTGGCCCATTATAAGCAAAGCTCAAGGGATGGGAAGTAAGAGGGGTAAATAGTCTCAAGAGCTAGCCACGATGCCGACGAGCTTAGCCATGATCTGACCTATCATGAAAGAAAAGCCAGAGACTTGCTAAAACTGTGGTGAAAGAACTTCTGATCTCTCTTCAAAAAACCAAGAAATTGACCAAAGAAAAGGGAAAAAAAGGAACTTGAGGGGGAAATGAAAAGGAAACTGTTAGATTACCTGATGGAGAAATTAGGGAGATGAAGATTGTTGTGATGAGATTGACCTAACTCATCACAGGAACTGGTCAGATGTAAGAAACTGGAAGAAGATGAAGGGTCATTTGGAGGGTGGTTTTCAGTGGACAAGAACATCTGCTCCTTCCACCGTTACTGTTTGCCTCACTTCCAAACTTCTCCTCCTTACCCTTCTGCATAACACCAGATCTTTATCACCCAAACCTATGAGCCTACAAAAAAACACATGTATGTACACCAAGCAAAAGTCAAGAAAATTCGAGTTCTAATCTTCTTGAATAGGACAATACAGAAACCCAGAAATGGAAAGTGAATCCTAGAACTTGAAGATCCTTCTAGAACATTATTTCATGTGAACGGTGAACTACTTAAAGAGTAAATTTGGAGAAAGGAATTTCCTTTTTTTTCTGGTTAAGAGCACAAAGAGGAACAATTCTTCGCAAGCAAAAGATTGAATTTTTTTCCCCTCCTAGTTCTTTGAAAGAAAAAAAAAATGGGGTTCCAATCAGATTGGAGTGTTATTTTATGTGGGGAATCACAAGAAAAGTGAACTGAGACATCACAACAAGAAATAGCCAGCCACACAAAGATTAATAGATCCAAGTTAATCAAAACCCAGTTGGGAATTTAAACAAACAGATTGTGATCATAGAACCAAAATCATGGAAATTTCTTCAGAGGCCGAAAACACGAAGACATGGGCATGGTAAACAAGACGACAGAGGGATTTCCATGGATTCGAGAAGAAGAAACAACCTAACCAAGAGCAAAAGCCAACACGAGATTTGAGCTCAAAGGAGAAACAAATCTGGAAACTTGAATCGAAACCCAAATAATCCAAACTCTTTCCCTTGTCATGAACAGAAAGGACTTTTGAACAGTGTCCTCAGATGATTTAGCATCAACTCAGACAGAAATCCAAACAAAAGCACAAAACACAAATACCCATCACAAGATTACATGTTTGGGGTTTTAAAATCACACGTATACAAAGAAGAACCAGAAGAAGATCAATAAGAATACACAAACCTCAAGGGGATTCCAAACCAAGAATAGGAAGAAGAAGAAGAAGAACAATGTTCAAATAGTTTTTTTTTTCCAAAACAAAGAAAAAATACACAAACCTTAAGAGGATTTATTTCCCCTCGAGCTGGTTTTTGTTGCTAGGAAAAGAAAATTTACGAGCAAAGATGGCTGAGAGAGAGAGAGAGATTAAACTTTGAAGATGATAGAGAGAGACAAACTATAACCACGCACTAACACATCAAGAGGCATCAGGTTCCCCGAGAAATAAACAAAATGACTGAATAAAATAATAATAGGTAATGATGATAAATACATTTAATGGTAAATTATGTAATAAATAAATAAAAGAGAGCAATATTTATTAAAAAAATATATTTTTTTGTTACCTTTTTTACAAATACCCCGCCCTGTACCAAATGGGAAGTGAACTTGGTCAGTCTTCTCTTCTTGTCTAAGTGGATGCTAAATATCTGTATATATTTTAAATATTTTTTTTTTTTGATAAAATTATATATTTAAATTATTTCAAATATGTTATTCGGAAAATCGATCTAAGATATCATTATTTTACATTAAAATTATTGATTGGTGGTTAGCAATTTAATGAATAAAAAATAAATCAAAACAAATCTATCACCTTTCTTTTAGTTTTCAGTTTATTAGAAAATCATCCTCTTTTTTATATTTATTAAAAACATTCGCATATTGACTATATTCATTTTTTTAATAGAGAAATATCACCATGGTTAATAAAAATTTCAATGGACTAAATATTAACGGTGATAAATAAATATTAAACAATGATCTAATTCATAGTTTTGTTTATCTTTATTCATTATATTATAATAAAATATGATTATTTATACGGATTTTTTTTCTTATCTTTAATAAAATTAAATTTAAAATTTAAGATATAATTTTCATATGTTTTTTTTATACGGATGGTATAGATTCCAAAAAATATTTGAGACGACTGGTCCAAATAAATTACAATGGGAAAGACAGTGTAAGAGCATGAATAAATTATAGACAAACATGATTATTTTGTCAAGTTGTGGAAGTGGAAGGGTGAGAGTCACATGAGTTGAGTTGGGTTTTAGTCAAATATATGTGTGTGTGTATATATATATATATATATATATATATATTTCTCATATTCCATTTGCCCTAAGGAGGCCCCTCCGCTTCACGACAAACTCTCCCCCTCCTTTTTCTTTTCTCTTTTTCTTCTGCTCAATAAAAGTATTTTTATTTTTCTTATAAAAATAAAAGTATTTTTTATTGAATGGATGAAGAAAAAAGAATCAGATTTTTATTCAGAGGAGCGAAATGTCAAATCGAAGGAACCACCAAAAAAAATTTGTAACGAAAAAAACGTTGAAACGTGGAATTGAATGGAAAGAAATGGGAAATGAAAAAAAAAAAATCGAAAGACAAAAAGATAATCACACTATACTTATCATTCTACCTCCTCTCCGTTTGGAACATAAATTACAGTACTTAATGATCCATATGACAAAACACACCATTTTATTTAAATAATAAACATATATGATATGGTTCATATCTAACCGAATAAAAAATATTAAAAATGCAATGGTTTGAATCCTGTAGACCATTTTTAAAAAATATTTAGAATATATTAAAAGAAAGTCAAGAAAGAGTTGAAAAAAAAAATGGTCTGTCTACGTCTAATGGATGGTACAATAATAAACAGATAGTTTTAAAAAAAAAAAAAAAGGCAGAAGCGTCCAATAATAAGGACATGTGTGGTGTGATGTGTTGTGTGGTCTGTCAACTTTTTCATGATGCTGCCCGAAATTCAAAATCTCCTTTGTCCGCTCCTTTCCCCTATTCGCCCCCCACACCCAATACCATATTTAATCAAATTAATATCATTATAGTATACACGCACTCTTTGATTCTTTCAACAAAATGAAAATGTGACCACGACCATATACTTTAAAACATTATATATTATAGTTTATATTACCGCCGGAGTGACAGTACAACGATCCGTTCTTTGCATCGTTATATGGAAATTTCATTTCATGGTTCAGAGACATACCAGAGCTTAACCGTCACATTACACAAGTCGCCAACCAAGCCTGGTTCGCTTCTCCTTCTTCTCCAATGCCAAACTTGCGATTTCTGTGATCAGAATGCATAACCAGCGGCAGAAGCTGGCTTCAGTTTATCAAAATATAATATACAGACCCACCATACTCTACGAGTGTATAGTTATATATATGTATGTATATGTACCATCTACTCATTTGATGCTTAAGGTGCGGTCACTGGCTCAGAAAGGCTTATGGTAGCCCCGAGCCGGTGGCTGGTCCCAGGCTTGCAAGAAGGCTGCAACAAGAGAATGTCGGCTCCTTAGATTTTATGCTTTTCTCACAACTAAAACGGTTTTGTCTAAAAGCAGTTGGAGTGAAATATTACAAAGAAAGTGGCTTGCTTACTCAACGGTATTTCTCCCAGGGACATGAATATGGACTCATCGTCTGCGTGAGGAATCTGATCACTCCCAAGAGTGGTAGCTCCCTGAATCATTCGAGAAAAGTTGGCACGAAATTGTTTGGAATTTTCACAATCACAGGAGTGTGTATGATTGAATTTTCTTTTAGAGGGTACCTCTGGATTTTGCAGGCCAATCTCGTCCTGTGGCATGTGATTAATGCCCTCGGGCACTGAATTGATTCCCAGGTTCATTGGAGGGATGTTTCCAAAAGAATCGATAAACTCTACCATCATGAGCCCTTCATTGTAATCCCGGACATCGTGGATCTCGTTTACTGACTCGGACTGATGAGAAAATCCCATAAATGGAGCTTCTTGCCTGCAGAAACATTCAGTTAGAGTGCATTCGAGACCTGAATACGTAAAAACAATGGGGGTTGGGTTAGAAAGGCGCAGACTTTCTATCAGAATTACTGCAGGCATATTCCACTTCAGGGGAATCGTTCTCCAAGTCAATCACTTCTATCTCTTTATCATTGCTTATCCGAGTATTGTGCTCAAGAGGCTTGCTTGAACTGCTTATCGCGAGATCAAAATCAACTCGATCGAGTTCCCCTTTGGGTCCTGAAACGGCAGGAAAAATGATCATAGGATCGTCAATATTGTTCTCATTCGCATCTGATGCTCCCTCTAGATTAAGGTCACAGATCTTAAATGAACCAGGAAACAGCTCCCGCTCTTCTGCATACCCACCACATGATTTTCCGTCTTGTACTTGTACCAGATCATGCGTTGAGTTATCCACCAACCCATCATGGACAATACCCTTCATCATACTCTCTACCACTTTCTCTTCGAATATGAGCGTTTTTTCCTCATCTGCAATGTTGTCTATTTCAGAAGCAAGAGATGGCAGCCACTCTCTCTGTCTCTTTGCTCCATCCAAATCACCATCTTCTGCAGCTCGTTTCTCCCCTCTTCCCTTCCCCATCGACTGTGACCTATGCAGATCAGCCAACTCCAGTCCTGGATTCTTTGCAACATTGTCCATGAGGATACTGCCAGGGAAGGAATTGGACCTATGACATTTACTCTTCTCAACCATAAGAGCGTGACCTAAGTCTCCAATGGGGTTAGAGGGGTCAATATGTTCATTGCCAGTACATTCAGGATTATCAGCTTTTCCAGATGAATGCACTGGACCTGGGATTTGAGTTTTGTCTGCAATTCCAGGAGTATGAGAGCTTCCCACGATATTTTCACTCGAATCAAGTTTTGGAACTTTGGCTGTTAGAGAAGAGCGTGTCCTGGTAGGCACCTTGGCGAATTTACATATCGTTAATAGATCAACACCATTCTTCATAGACGAGCCCTCCACACAAGCTTGGTTCTCATTCCCTCCGCCATTGGAATTTCCACCCTTCAGCACTCCAGATCCAGCACTCAAGCTAGATGAACCTTCAGATACTTTTGAGATTGCCACATCATTCGCTGTATCTTTCCCAACACTAGAAGAGCCTGTCTTAGATTGTGCCTCATCCTGAAGATTATACTTATCCAACTCGGACTCTGAATCACCTGCCCCTTCCCGTTTTCTTGCAGAGTAACCCGAGTTCGACCTCTGAACCGAGCTAGTAATGTCTTCAGGTAGTGTCTGGCCAGACACAGAATCAGTGTCAGCTTCGACATCAGTAGCCTTATGTCTTCTGTCTGACCATGATCCGTTCCTCCCAAAAGCAGAGCCATATCGGTTGGACCTCCTTCCCTTCACGTAACTCCTGTAGCCCGTGGAGCTATAATCATCAACAAACCTTCCCTTATCCGCATCTGGAGCAGAAACACCCGTCCGTGTTTCTTGTGACCTAAAACCTTGTAACTCTCCTGCCTGTTTCCTCAAATTAACATTCTGCCATTCACCAGACAGCACGGTTGGCGGTAAGACACCCCGAGAAACCAAGTACTCTGCTGCCAGACGACCAGCTTCCATGAAAATGTCACCACCACCTTTGCGTTGGAGTGGTGGAGTAGGTGGAAGTGGCTGGTTTTGGTATGACTTTGGGTGTACACGGCCACGTCCGTATCCACGGTTCGAGCCATGACGGGCTGAACCATGAAACCCATGACCACGCATAGAACCATCTGGTGGAATTCTAGAAGATGGCAACCCCATCCCGACTGAGCCAGATCTGTAGCCATTTCCTATATTCCGGTGCCTAGCATGCATCTTTGTCCCTCGTATATATACAAACCTATGGCTCCAGTTTAAAGAATCACAAAATATATGCAAAAGTATGGTCGCCAAGTGAAAACATGTCTCCCCAGTCTCAATCGTTTTACGGATACATTTAACGCTCCTGCGGCCTAAAACCCTCAAGTTTGTCATCCGACAGGAACCAAGAACACAAGAGCAGTAGCAGCAGTCACTTCCATGTTTCTTCCTCACCGAACAACCCTAAGTACAAGAAACACCACGAGATCTAACTGTTGATTCTGAGACCAATTATTCAGCTCCCTAGAGTATAGGAAGAGCTCGAAAATTAAACAACTGAACTAGGGTTTGAAGCAATAAGATGTTATTTTTTTCGGCCACCTCAAAAGATCGAGCAAAACGATGGATCTCTAGTTCCAGATTCGGTAAAAATCTAACCTGTCTTAACCAAGTCCGATGATCAGTCCGTCTGTGTTCGAATCCGTCGAAAGGAAATCAACCACATCCACGTTCGGAGAATTTAAGATCATTTCACTTCATTTGCTCATCTAATAGAACCAACCAAAACCCTAAAAATTTCTCAAGAAACAAATGGATTCCGATCATGAGTTAGCAATCAGGAGAAGATTTCGGTCTAGGGTTTCTGATGGCGAAGACGAACCAGAGTACTTTTCATTCGGAACCCGAGATTTTTCAACAACGAAAAATAAAAAAAATTAATCACTGATTTTCCCCCCCTTTTCTTCTCGTTCATCCGATTCGAAGAGCTCTTCCCCCTTTTTTCCTCTCCTTTTCGTTGATGATGGGGACGAGACCGAAAGCGTGAACATGACACGTCAGCTTATCTGGTACGCTTCCTTTGTCGTGTACTACTCACGCTCCTCCTCGCGCGTGATTCCCAAGCGGCAGATTTTCATTTTGATGGGCCCATTACGGCCCAGTAAAATCGTGACAATAATGGGCCTACATTTGGCCCAAAAGATCAAATGTCTCAGTTTTATACAGTTAAGAGTAGGCCCAAAACGTCGCTTTCACAACAAATTTGGAAACGCGACAGTGGGTCCCACAGAAGAATGTACAACACGCCGTATACGTGGTTGGCTGTCAAATGTGTCATCTGTCACAGCCACGTGACGGGATAATTTGTGCCTCTTCAAAGGGACAAAAAGGAAGATAAAGATTAAAGGGCTTGGTCAATGTCCCTTTTTTTTGACCGACCTTTTTTTTTTCTCTGTGGGTACCCTAATTAATTATTTCATTTATGATTATAATAATGTAATTAGTTTTAGTTATTAAATGCTCACCTGTCAATTAATTTAATACGGCAAACCTTATTCTCTTAACCCTCAATTAGTACTAAACTGGGGAAATTTGTACTTTTGGTTTTTGTCGTGGTCCTAGTTTGTGTTGGTTTTTGTTTTCTAATGTAATCCGAACTTACTCAAATTTAGTGTTATATGATAGCAATAATTTTGTGTTTTAAATTTTTTTTTAGAAATTGTTTTCTCCATCAATATAATATAATATAATGCGCTGAAAATATTAATATATTCTATTATTGATTTATTACAACAATGCGCTTATAAAACAATTGATTGAGATATATATATATATATATAGCCGTGAACTTGTGTATTCATGAACATGTTGACTTTTGGATTTGTATTAATTAACCTAACAAATTTTTCCAATTCGTCCCATACCAATAGAGAATCGAATAAATATATAAATTAATTAAGAAACAAATCCAAGCATTGAAATTGTTGTAAATATTCAGTTTAATACATCTTAATTTGTCCATTGTTGTATTTGTTAAATATAGACATATATATATTTCATTATCTCCAATTTATATTTATGATGATTTTTTTTGTTTACAATATGCATTAAATCTATAGTGTCATTGGTCTTAACTAAAACCTGTTACACTCTATAATGAATTCTAAAGTTGAAAACAATTTTAAAAAGCATATATACGATATAAGGTTAAATACTAATCATTGTTATTAACTTACATAAATACTGATATAATTAGCTTTAAAATGTTATATAATATTATTAATTTAGTTTTTTTTTTAAACACATGCGTTATCCACACAAACACATAAAACAATTAAAGCAACAAACTTGGCTGAAGTCTCTCTTTCTAAACAAAGCAAAACAAAGGCAGTTTGCTAACAAAATGGAAGTTGGAGAAATGGCCGTACGGATTGAGTGGTGAGAATTGATTTGATCATTTTTATTTCTCATTTCAATTCATTTTCTAACATAACCATGTAAATGCTAAAAATAGTGTCACCGTTAGATTTCTTTTCCCATTTTTTTTAATGTGACACTTATAGTAAAAAAACCTCTATTTTCCCAATATATAAAACTGTATTTTGTAACATGTAATATATAATAATATTCCAAGCTTTTTAGTACGTTTGCACATGCGTCGAAACAGAAATTTGCCAATTATTTCCAATTTCTAATAAGGTCTATATCCTATTAATTCATCGACATGCAATAAAAAAATAAAAAGTGAAAAATTGGTAGATAAATTGTTGGGATCCCCTGCGAGTAGGCGTACGTGACTTATCGTGTCAAGCCAATGAGATTGGGTACGACGATGAGAAATTCAGTAAGATGTCCACGTGGCTTGATATTAGTTGTTGAGGTGGGTCGAGAGAGAACGCTTTGTGTGTGGGGAACACGAATCATCGTCATCTTCATTTGTGCAACTTTAGTCGATTCCCTCAGAGTAACAATCACAGCTCAATCAAATGGCCTAATCTCTCTCTCTCTCTCTCTCTCTCTCTCTCTCTCTCTCTCGCTTTATTTCTTCTCCCTTCAAAGATTCGATCTTCATTTGCGCCATCGCCCACAGCACAATCCCCTCTTCCTTTTTCGACTGATTTCCCGTTTGTTTTTAATTTTCTCATCGTAATCTATGGTATACGTTGAGGGGAAAAGTTGAAATTTTTTGAATGGATGGCGGAAAGTGTATGAGATTTTATCTAATTGGGCTGTGAAATATCTGTAGTTTTGTTAATAAACATCATCATTTCGTTTCCGGTGAAGGAAAAATTGTATTCTTATACTCAGCGAGAGAGAGACAGAGAGATTGTACAGTAGAGTTATTTCTCCCTCCTTTTGGGCTTCCTGTGACACCCAGAAGAGCAAAGAGCCAAGAGAGATAGAGAGAGAGAGGGCGAAAGAAGAAAACTCTCGTTGTCTGAAATCTCTCTTTCGTACTAAATTACGGAGAGATTTCGATCCGGGTCGGATCAGGTCCAGCTGATGGTTGCGACGGCGCTGGCGGCGGCGGCGACGGTGGTGGGTCGTGTTCAATCGTCAGTCAGGTGATGGTTCAGCATCCTGGGTACCTTTTTCTTGTTGAACTTCGTACGCGTCGTCTTTTCTTTAACTTGAATTTTAAAATTCGAATTTGAATTAACAAATTGGTCTCTTTTTTTTTTTAATCAGACAAAAATTTTCTTACCTTCTGGTTCAAGCTAAATCTCTTAATTTCCGCAAATTTACGTTGTCTAATGGTTTTGTCCTTTTTCGAATTGTTTGTCTCGATGTTTCGCTTCTCCCTCTTGAGGTTGTTTTTTTTTCTCTGGATTCTTCATATGAGCATATGATCGATCTCTCTGTCCTGTTTCCATCTCTCTTGTCGGCTTATGAAGCGTCAATGGTTGACAAGATTTGTGTCTACAGGTTCTGCAAGTGGGCGTGTTTGTGACGGGTTTATATCGCCTTCTCCCTGGAGAGTGTTCAGCTCCGTTTTGTACCGCAGTCTGAGCTGAATCTTAGGGTTTTCGCCATGTCTGGTTTTGATGATCATGTCGCTGTAATGGGCGAATGGATTCCTCGAAGTCCAAGCCCGAGAACCCTTTTCACGGCCATGTTGGAAGAGGGGAAGAGTTCCATTTCCAAGCCTGTTCTTGAGAGAGAGCTTTCACTGAATCATGGGCAGATAACTTTCGAGGAAGAAGACGCGGCCGCCGAGAAGAAAGATTCTTTGCAAACCGGTTGTTTTCAGTTGTCCGAAGAGGCAGCGAATTCACGAGGATGTCTCAGCGAAAGACTTGCTGCTAGAGCTGGTTTTAACGCTCCTAAGTTGAACACAGAGAATATTCCGTCTCCATGCTTAACCATCTCTTCCCCTGGACTTAGCCCTGCAACCCTTTTGGAGTCTCCGGTTTTCCTTTCGAACCCTTTGGTAAGCTCTTGAGTTTCTTCTCCACGCAAGAATCAATCAGTTGTTCGAATAAAAGTATCAGATGCTTTGGACAGAACCGGAAGTGCTTTCGGTTCTGGTGTTTCTTGCAATGAGTTGTTCGTATGAACACCAAAGGCAGAATCTTTATGGTTGTTTTGACGATTCTTTTGGATAGTTTGAATCTTCGTGTTGATCTCTGTGAAAATCTCTCTTCACTGCAGGCCCAGCCATCTCCAACGACGGGCAAGCGTTCGTTCTTCCCCGGTGGTAACAGTAAAGACGAGTTCTTTGACGACATTGGTGCATCATCGTTCACGTTTCAGCCCGTTTCGAGGTCTTCCTCCTCCTCTTTCGTCCCGGGCACTGTCAACAAAGTAAGTTTGTAGCATCTACGAGCATCAAATGTATGTCGGCATGCCTTTCCCCGGTGCAGAACATCGTATAAATTCCTCGCTTTCCATTGATTTGTTTCTGCAGGTCTCTCCTATTTCCGATCACTCCTTTCCCGACATATCGACTGATTACTGCAATAGGCCTCAGACAATGGAAGGTGTCAAGCCTGGATCTCGGACCATAGAAACCGTCGATTTTCGTGGCAACTTTCCCGGGACATCAGCCGAGAGACATGATACTGACCCGCGAGAAACAACCCGTGAAGCTACAGATGCAGGCGATGATTCTGAAGACAAAGAGCCGAGAGGGAACGGAGGAGGAGGAGACATGGTGGCTGGCGGCGGTGCACCTGCAGATGATGGATTCAACTGGAGAAAGTACGGACAGAAGCTAGTTAAAGGGAGCGAGTATCCACGCAGTTATTACAAATGTACTCACCCGAATTGTCAGGTCAAGAAGAAGGTCGAACGGTCCCGTGAAGGTCACATCACCGAGATCATATACAAAGGATCTCATAATCACCCGAAACCGCCTCCTAGCCGCCGCTCTGCCTTTGGATCATCTTGTCCGGTCCTCGACATTCAGACTGATGGAACTGGTCAAGATTCTGTCTGGACGGGTGCCCAACCACATGCCGTTGGAACAGACGAAATTGCCGAGGAGGGATCGCCTGAAGGTAACCAGTCCGGATCAGGCGATGCTGCCACCGCTACTGCCACCATGGTTGACGCTTCCTCGACTTTCTCTAACGATGAAGATGAGGACGATTGTGGTACACATGGAAGCGTTTCTCTCGGGTACGAAGTTGGCGAAGGAGATGAAACCGAGTCTAAGAGAAGGTCAAGAGAAAAAAAAGCAAACCTTTGCGATTTTTTCCCCATAAATGGCCTGGAGGATGGTCTGATACGGTTGACGTTTCAGGAAACTCGACGTTTATGCAGCTGAGATGAGTGGAGCAACACGAGCTATCCGTGAGCCGAGAGTCGTGGTTCAGACAACGAGCGACGTGGACATACTCGACGACGGGTATCGCTGGCGGAAATACGGTCAGAAGGTCGTCAAGGGAAACCCTAATCCGAGGTTCTTAATCACATTCCACTGACAATTAAGGTTCTTAATATGATCAATCAGTTTGATCTTATTGAGATAATCTCTCTTAATGTAACGTGTTTTCAGGAGTTATTACAAATGCACAGCGCCTGGATGTACAGTGAGGAAGCATGTAGAAAGAGCTTCTCATGACTTGAAGTCGGTCATAACAACTTACGAAGGCAAACACAACCACGAGGTCCCCGCAGCTCGGAACAGCAGCCACGGTGGCTCAGGGACTGGGCCACCCGGCTCGACAGCGGCAGCTCAGACCCACATGCGGCAGCCCGAGTCACGCAACAGGTTCGAGAGCCCTGTCACAGTCACGAGCAACGGTCCATTTGGCCGTCCTTTCAGCTTCCAACCTCCTCCAGGATTCTCGTTCGGTTTAGGCCAAACCGGCCTGCACAATCTTGGGATGCCCGGTTTAGCATTTGGGCAAGGGAAGTTGCCCGGTTTTCCGGTTCACCCGTACTTGACACCGCAGCCGCAGGTGGTCGGCGATCCGGGGATGATGTTGCCGAGAGGGACGGAGCCGAAAGTGGAACCACTGTCAGAACCAGGTGTTGCCTTGTCGGAAGGTTCATCAATTTACCGGCAGATCATGAGTAGGTTGCCTCACATATGATGAGCCCTTTTTTTCTGTCTGTTTGTGTTTATTTTCAAATTTAGATCTTCTGAAACTCTGAGAGAAAGGTAAAGAAAAAGCTGTTTAATTTCTCAAAATTCTTTCTATAAACTTATATTTAATCCTAGTGGAATTCATAACCAATGCGCAATAGTTTCAGCTAATAAAAGGATACTCAATATTTTCAAGAAATCTGACCCATGAAATAACATGTAAAATCCCAAGATTTTCAGACATTCTTCCCTCTCTACTACTACCAGTTCATACCTTTTTGTCCCAACAGAGATTTCATCAAAGCAGAGCATAACAAAGACAAGAGAACTACCTCAAACATCTGTCTGAGTTCTCAAACCTCGTAAAGGTTTTTTGGTTTGTGGAAGGAATTTAGATGAACGCAGTCCTGCCGCCTCTTCGGGTATGTCTGTCATATGCAGTGTTGAATTTGTCCACGAGCTCATTCATCGTGCTGCCATATCGAACAAAGTTTACAAGCAATTAAAACAAAATGCTTTCAATTGGTCTCACTATCTAATGCTGCTATAAAAGCACATGGTTATGCAACATGTGCTTGTAAAAAAGTAGACACCTGGAACAATTCGTGAACATTGCAAGGTAAGTTATCAGTAATTTGTCGTTGTACTCCTGCAAATGAAACGGATGGTGTAAGGGAAGAGGTGGTTAATAGTAAGCAATGGTAAGGGGATGAAAATGTTGCTACAAGGTAAGAAACTCACCATCAAGAAATCATCTTGAAACCTTTCTGATTCAATAGCAGGCAACCTTCTGAGCAGACTGGATACTTGTCTAAGAAGCGAGTTCTCACATGGAATATCGCCTAGAAGCAGAATTAAGGAAATGAACCATGTAATGTTTGTTTTCTATGTCATTCTTAGCTTAAAAACAAGAGCAAGGAAATCTTCCGGCTAAAATTTCCCGGATGAACAGCATAAAACATCAAGAATTGAAAGAAGAGGGAGGGAAAACATGAACTTGGGGGCAAGGTTAACTAATACCTTTCTGCATCGCAACAAGATACTGATAGAGCACTCTGATTCTGCTATTTAGCATCTTGATGGCACTATGTATGCCCGTAAGATGAGCAGCCACTGCCCATCAACAAGTGACCAACTTTAACTTCAGTGTCGTTGAATTAAAGGATCAAGATAAGTGTAGGGGGGGGGGGCATGAGGCTCACATTGGGTCGCTGCTGAGCCTCCATCAGATGGTTTGAGATGAGCAACATGATCAACCGATATCCGTTCAGCCTCCACTGTCTATATATATGTTAACATCGTAAACAGATATTCAAGTTCAAGGTTTGCTTTCGTACCACAGATAATTTAAAGAATCAAAAGGTAAGAACAAACCTCGATGGTGTAGCTCGCATGGACGAAAATCAGCTGAGGAACTCCATCAATGACATGCAATTCTTGGAGTTGCGATGATCAATCAATGTAAGATAAAAGTTAGCATCTTAACAACAATCTGAAAAAACTAAATTGGGAATCAAGGTAAATACACTAATACGAGGGAACCCAAAATATGCTCTTCAAAGGAAAGCAACAGCACATGCTGCTAGACATCTCAGAAACAGCGAATTTCCAAATACCGATACTAAAACATCAGAAAACCAGTCTGCCCGCAGAACCACGGGCTGCTAGTCGAACCAAACTGCAATGGCAAACACTAAAGCAAAAAGAATATATAGATGGCATACCGCTTTCATATATAGTCACAGGGAGATCCTTCTGTGCGTGATTGATCGATGGGTTTAGAAGGACATAAACAGGTGATTCGTTAATGTCCATCAGCTGTCATGGAAAGTAAAATCATCACCATGAGCAAACGCAAAACTCATACCGTCTCCATAAAAACTACACTGGGGCTGAGGCTGCACTCACAGCTTTGTGGATATGCATATCAGATTCCTGAGCGTCACTTCCAGTGGAGTACCATCCCAAAATATAAAAGTGAGGGAAGACCTTCTTGTCTGATCAAACAACAAAACAAAATCAGGTGCTAAAAAAGCCCTAACGGGAAGCAACAAAAAAAAAATCAGAAATTTTCACGGAACCCATGGCAAATATCGGAAGAGAAC